CATATGTTGTAGATGAGTAAATATAGTCAAAACCGTGTGTGTGTATGTGTGTATAAAATGATGTACCAAGATGGATGAATCACCACTGCGTCTGGGTTGTGCAACAAGTCATTGTGTACATAATGTGTGAATATAGCAGGAGTAATAATGGAGAACCCAAGCAGAGGCAAAAGGAAAGAATATGTTTTTGGTTTAAGTATTTATGTTTATTTTGTAAATTTCTAATCAGAAGTATATCTGTTGAGTTTAGTAGGGTTTACTCCCAAATAAGCATGTTTAGGATTGCAGTCTTAAATTCCCTAGATTATTGGGCCAAAAATGTCATTGAAAGAGTGGGCTTGGAAGGAAACAAGATGATGTATTCCGGGAGATAGTCACAGGCATAAGGAGCAAGCAAGAGAAAAGATGAGGGTGGGTGGGAGGATGATGATATTTGAGGGAATAGAAAAGTTTGTATGATTGCCAGTGGCAGAGCTGGAGAAATGCAAGGATACATGTAGGATAGAGAAAAATAAGTGGCAGGACCTGTGCCACAAGTAAGGATAAGGAGTTTTTCTGGATCCATATTGTCCAACACAGTGGCAGCTTATATGTTTGGAACTGACAGGGTTCCTATTGTAGATTTAATTCTTTTTTTCCCCTTCTCTACCCACTGCCAATATGCAATGAACCTGAGGCCTGACTAGAATGTAAATATGAACTGGGGTAATGTGGTGGCTGTGGAGTTGGATTGTGAACCAGAAAGCTAAAATCTGTTTGAGAAAAAAACTTTTAGAAGTTCACTGTTCACTTTTTTTCATAGCATTCCACATGTGGCAAAGATCAAGAAATCATAAACTGCTTCCATATTTTTAGAATAAGAAAAAGAAGTTGGGGAAGGAGAGGAATTAGACCCAGAAACAAGTGGGTGGCATAAAGTAAGACATTATCCCACTGCACTGCAGAATAAAACAAAGACAGTACAGTCAGCAGGACACTCAAACTACCCTTCTCTCTTCTGTTCTATATTACAGTGTACAATAACCTGTCCATGTATATAGGTTTTGTTCTGATTCATAGAATCATAATTGGAAGGAACCACTTAGGTCTGTCTCAGCATAAGATGGATCCAGATACTCTTATAGAAGTCTGAGTGATTGGCAGTAGATTGTTTACAGCTAATTTTATGATAATTACATTCCCCAAATTATGTGATTGACAAGAAGAATACTTGGAATAACCCAGAGTAGATTTGATGGTAGAAAAACAGTAAATTCTAGTATTCAAAATAAATTCTTGGTGCTTAAATCTTTGGAGGTCTGGCACTTTTCATCTTATATGTATGCATTTTATACCTGGTAATACTTGATGAATTTGGGGATTCTAGTAAAAAGCAAAGCAAAGCATGCAAGCCTCAAGTGTACCCAGCCCTGGGTTATGTAACAGTGTATACTCAGAAATTCAAACAGACAAGTTTAGTTATTAGTGCCAATGCAAAATAGGAAATAAGGACCAGAAGGGAATCAGAAAAAAACAAAACAAAACAACCCAGGTTGGATATTGATACATTGATTAGATGTGTCAAATTGATTAGACTTGTCAAATTAAAAACAAATAGCCCTTCAAACGTGTGTACCAGATTTCCAGTCAGGACAAAATCCAAGTTTAGGCCCATGAATAATAACCCTGACATTGAAACATTTGAAAAAGTGATATTCAGAGAAATTGAAAAGAACTATTGATAGATACTGGTATAATATAGACAGGAAATTAGTATTCTTTAAAGTATAACTGGTAACTATGGTGTTATTTTTAAACCAGCAGAGAAGGGGGGATATGGTAGAATGTAGAAATAAGGTTATGAAATAACTCATTTAATTTTTTAATTAATAGAATATTGAATTAATACTAGCTAAGAAGTGATGCAGATCATTAGTGTTAGGGCTGAAGCTGATGAGGTATAAAACAGGGATTCTCAGGCTTGACAGAACCTTTGTGTAAACATTGAGCAGATGTTTGCCAATCTCAAGGCTGGGAAGAGAACAGCCAAATGTCCTTTTGTTCAAAAGTGGGGAGGAAAAGGCTGATGATTTAAATTTTGGAACAGACATATATTTAGGCTTGATTCTTCTGCACTAGGCAGGTCCATGTGTATATGATTTCTCTTGTCTGCAATGAAACAACTATACTAAGCTGTGTTGCGTCTGTGAGATTCCAGCATAAGCAAATTCCTGATTATGGATTTAATGTCTGGCAAGTCAAAGTTTATTGCCATGCCTGACAATAAGTTTGATAATCATAATTCAAGAAACATTAGGATATATACATGGGGGAACTTTTGCTTCCCTTATAAGCCAGCATTTTATAATTTCCCAAGATACCTAAACTGGGAGACCACCTCCAAAATGGCTTATTGTCTCTAATGTTGCTTTGATTTTGAATTATTAACTAAGTTTTCAGATTGTACTCTACTGCTTTAGTGAAAAAATAACTTCCTACCTAAAAGATGTAAAAAAAAAACTAAATTAACATAGTAGAACATGGTTGTATATAAAATGAAACAGGGTCTGGAGAAAATGGTCAGGGAAGAGCTTTTCTCCTATTTTCAAAACACTTGGACCATCTAGTGAAGCTGGTAGGAAATTTAAAACAGAGAAAATGAAGCAATTATTCACACAATGTGTAATTTACCTGTGGAATTCATTACCATAGTATGGTGTGATAGCTACCAATTTGAGTAATTTTAGAAGGGGGTTGGAATTGTTCTCACAATACTTAACCACCTGCAAAGGTCAGCCATTTGTTGCATGTCTGAGCATTTGTGTCATCAGTGAGATATATGCTGTGTCTACTGCACTTAGACCTAAAAGCCAACAGTTTGCCACCTTTGTTGACTTCAGAGTGATGCTTGACTCTATTTCTTGTGACTAGCTATGGTTTAAACCAGACACCACCTCAACTGATAAGCACCTTCTGTTACTTTTCTATAAGTTACTTTGTGGGTATGATACAATTGAGCCTTTTTTTCTTTTTTTAATCTATTTTGACATTTAGGGATGTTCTCCAGGGTTGTGTTCTAGCTCCCATTTTGTTTAATATTTATATTAATTCCCTCAGCAATTAAAATCTATAGATACTTTGGCTCCCAAACTGCATAATAGGCATCTCCCAAATTTCTATATACAGATGATGCTGTCACTTTAAACATGCATTGGTCTTAAGAGAGCTATCATTGCCTTGGTCCAGCATTGATTTAAAGGAGCATTTGATGGTTAATTATCAAAAAACTAAAGTAATTGTCTTTAAACAAACCAAAATTTTAGTTAGATTATTAATGGTTACCAGACAGAACAAATTAAATTGTTTATGTATCTTGGGGTTAATTCCAGGCAGATGCTAGAAGGGACTCTGATGCTGATTATGTTGCTAATTTGGCCCAAAGAACTACCAAGCAATTTTACAGTATCATTATTCACAAGGCAATAGGTATTTATCTGTAGTCATTAAACTTTGCAGACAAAGGCCTTCATGCAACGACTAT